TGGGCCAGAACTCTCAGAGTTATAAACAGCAGAGGGCAGAACAAGGATGATGGATGGGAATTAGAAGGAAGATTTTAGTTCACCTTCAGGAAAATTTCTCTAATGGGGGTTAGCAAATTACCAAAATTCTTCAAATATGGATTGCATGACTATCTGTTACAAGTGCAGTGAAAGAGATTCCTATATTCATAAAATGATTTGTGTATACAATATCTATGGCAAATGGTTCCTTTCCTTTAACCTTCCTTCAAAAGGACATGACTATCTTCCCTTCAAATTTTAAGGGACGCGGCAAAATGATGAAGGCCTTACAACCTCTAGGTGATGCAAGTTGATGGTTTCCTTTTTAAGTTTAAAAAATATAGTTACTTTCTTATGTGATCAACATGAGTTCAGATGAACTACATCTTAGGAAAAGTAGAAATGGTTTTTAGGAATCTATCATACCCAGGAAAGAACCCCAACACTAATTCTAATCAGCCATGCAAGTTTTGGCAAATCTATTCACTGCCCTGAGGATGAAAATTTTATCTAGAAATGAGGATAAGAAAAGTTACTTGGGTATACATACTACAGACACACATATACAGCACATTCATATATATGTATATATATGTATAATGTATACATAAATACATGCATATAGCATACCTGCTGCATACATACATTTTGTCACTTAACTAATTTTTTGTATATAAAATGTATATAATTTAGAAAGTTCTCATGGTGCTACTTTGCTTTTACGAAAGACCTATATTAGCATTTGCTTTTACTAACTGAAAGAATCTGAAGAGAATTTTCACTTTTACAGGGAAAGTATCTGAAAAATGAACATAACATTTAGTGTTGACCTTGCAGCAGCCCTGACGGAAGAAGCCACACCCTGAAGAGTGACAGTTGCCCCTCCAGGCTCCATCCCTGTGACCTACACTTAGCAAGCATCTCAGCATCAACTGCCAGTGCTTTGACCTGTGCCCATGAGCATCTAGGATTTACCTCAATTTACTTATTTATTTATTTATTTATTTATTTATTTTTAAATTTTTCCTTAAATAGTTTATTGTCAAGTTGGTTTCCTTTCTTTTTTTTTTTTTGAATAGTTTATTGTCAAGTTGGTTTTCATATAACACCCAGTGCTCGTCCCCTCAAGTGCCCTTCTCCATGCCCATCTCCCCCCTTCCCCTCTCCCCACCCCCATCAGCCCTCAGTTTGTTCTCAGCATTCAAGAGTCTCTCATGGTTTGTCTCCCTCCCCCACCATTTCCTCCCTTCTTCTCCCCCATGGTTCCTCCTAATCCTCCTATACGTGCAAACAATGGAATACTACATGGCAATGAGAAGGAATGAAATCTGGCCATGTGTAGCAACCTGGATGGAACGTGAGGGTGTTATGCTGAGCAAAATAAGTCAGGCAGAGAAGGACAAATATTGTCAAGTTGGTTTTCATGTAACACCCAGTGCTCATCCCCACAAGTGCCCTCCTCCATGCCCATCACCCCCCTTCCCCTCTCCCCCACACCCATCCGCCCTCAATTTGTTCTCAGCATTCAAGAGTCTCTCATGGTTTGCCTCCCTCCCTCTCCCCAACTATTTTACCCCTTCTTCTCCCTCATGGTCTTCTGTTAAGTTCCTCCTAATCCTCCTATACGTGCAAACATATGGTATCTGTCCTCCACTGCCTGACTTATTTCGCTCAGCATAACTCCTTCAAGTTCCATCCATGTTGCTACACATGGCCAGATTTCATTCTTTCTCATTGCCATGTAGTATTCCTTTGTATAACTATACCATGTCTTCTTGATCCATTCGTCAGTTGATGGGCATTTAGGTTCTTTCCATGTTTTGGCTATTGTTGAGAGTGCTGCTATGAACATGGGGGTACATGTGCCCCTATGCATCAGCACTCCTGTGTCCCTTGGGTAAATTCCTAGCAGTACTACTGCTGGGTCATAGGGGAGTTCTTTTTTTAATAAATTTTTAATGTTTTATTTATTTCTGAGAGAAAGAGAGAGAGACAGCATGAGCAAGGGAGGGTCGGAGACAGAGGGAGATACAGAATCTGAAACAGGCTCCAGGTTTTGAGCTAGCTGTCAGCACAGAGCCTGACACAGGGCTCAAACCCACGAACTGTGAGATCATGACCTGAGCTGAAGTCGGACGTTTAACCGACTGAGCCACCCAGGCGCCCTGATATGGGAGTTCTATTGTTAATTTTCTGAGGAACCTCCACACTGTTTTCCAGAGGGGCTGCACCAGTTTACATTCCCACCAACAGTGGAGGAGGGTGCCCATTTCTCCACATCTTCGCCAGCATCTATAGTCTCCTGATTTGTTAATTTTAACCACTCTGACCAGCGTCAAGTGGTATCTCAGTGTGGTTTTGATTTGTATTTCCCTGATGATGAGGGACGCTGAGCATCATTTCATGTGTCTGTTGGTCATCCGGATGTCCTCTTTGGAGAAGTATCTGTTCATGTCTTCTGCCCATTTCTTCACTAGATTATTTATTTTTCAGGTGTGGAGTTTGATGAGTTCCTTATAGATATTGGATACTAGCCCTTTATCTGGTATGTCATTTGCATCTATCTTTACCCATTCTGGGTCAGTTGCCTATTAGTTTTATTGATTGTTTCCTTTGCGGTGCAGAAGCTTTTTATCTTGATGAGGTCATTTTTGCTCTTGGTTCTCTAGCCTTTGGGATGTGTCAAGTAAGAAATTGCTGAGGTTGAGGTCACCTCGATTTATTTTGTGCATCATTAGCAAGATGTGTCCTAAGGCATAAAAAAAGGCCTAAGACAGGTGATACACTTAGGTCGGAACGCTCAAAAAATGATCCATGTACATTCATGGTAATTGTTTCTTCACACCATTTCAGTTTATTTTTTTTTAATTTTTTTAATGTTTTATTTATTTCTAGGAGAGAGAGAGAGACAGCGTGAGCAGGGGAGGGTCAGAGAGAGAGGGAGTCACAGACTGAAACAGGCTCCAGGCTCTGAGCTGGCAGTCAGCACAGAGCCCGACGCGGGGCTCGAACCCACAACCGCGAGATCATGACCTAAGCGAAAGTCGGACGCCTAACCGACTAAGCCACCCAGGCGCCCCCACACCATTTCAGTTTAAAAAAAGGTTTCATGGGAAAGCTCTACTTTGGATCATAGGGGAAACCTGTATCTTAAACTATGACATTTCTTTTCAATGTGTAGCTGATAGTAATGGTTAAGTATTATTGCACCCTTATAATGTGCATGGCTGGTACCCTGGTTCTTATCTCTTTACACATCCTGTCTTTAATTGTCCCAGCACTCTGTGGAGGAACTGTACACAATAGGAAAAAAAGGTTTAGAGCATAGAAATTTCCCCCTTAATAGTGATAATAAGAGGCAGAGTTGGCATTGGAATTCAAGACATCATGACACTAGATCTGGATTTTCCCTTTTTTTTTTTTTAACTTTTTATTCATTTCTGAGAGAGAAAGAGAGAGAGAGACTGAGTACAAGCACAGGAGAGGTAGAGGGAGAAGGAGACACAGAACCTGAAGCAGGATCCAGGCTCTGAGCTGTCAGCACAGAGCCCGACACGGGGCTTGAACCCACAAATTGTGAGATCATGACCTGAGCCGAAATCGGACACTTAACTGACAGAACCATCCCTGAATTTTTACTTTTAAAGTGATACTCAAAGCTTCAGTGTTCTACATAGAATCTCATAATGATTTTCTTTCTTTTTCTAAGTTTATCTATTTACTTTGTGAAAGAGAGAGACAGAGAGAGAGAGAGAGAGAGAATGACCCAAGCAGGCTCCACACTGCCAGTGTGAATTCGTGAACCTCAAGATCATGACCTGAGCCAAAATCTTGAGTCAGAAGCTTAACTGACTGAGTCACCCAGGCACCCCATGATTTTCTTATTAGAAATAATACTTGAAGACATTCAGTCTCAAATCTGTTGATAACGCAGTGGGTGCTGTTATTTAATTAGTCTTTCCTATTCAATAGATATTTTATTGTCTCTAAGTATGCAATCCAGAGAGCTGAAAATTAGTTGGTTAATATCAATCAAATCAGCCCATATTTGGTTAACATATATCTAAGCAGGACAAAATATACATATATTTTTAGTGTCAACAGTTTTTATGGGTGAGGTGTCCAAAGTGTAATCAATGTTTGTTATATCTGTCTCAACCTTGAGTATACACTTTCCACAGTGTTTGGGGAATAACTCTGGATGTAAGATATTTCTTCTTATCTAGTTATGGAATGTGTTGCTTTGAGAAAGTAGTTCTGTGAAGTTGTCAATGTATTTTTTAAATTTTCTTCCCATGGAAACTTTATGTAGTCTTTGGGAGGTACACAGATGTATCCCTGAAAAGCCGAGTACAAATTTAACTTTTTGAGAATAAAATTGATTTTATTATACTTTTTAATATAATTTATTGTCAAATTGATTTCCATACAACAATAAAATTGATTTTAAGTGCTAATTATTTAAGGGAGTTCTCATGAATTTTATGGGGCAAATAAATTGTTTGCTCTTTTGCATTTTGAGCAAATCTTGATTTTCATACATCTGCTTTGCTTTCTCTTTAGCGGTGGTTATCTGCAGGACTATATGGAGGCAGTACTAAGTCACCTCCTCAGTGCTAATGCCATGGAAAGACATTGATGGATTAAAAAATTAACCAGTGAACACCAAATTTGCAAGGCAAGTTTATTTCCAGCATGCCTGTTAATTGACTCTAATCTTTAGCTTTGAAAAATAATCAAGAGAAAGAATTTGAGTGCCTGCTCTCATGAGAGAATCATGAAGGAGCTTCCATTTAACATGATCAGGCTGGAGAGATCACTGGATTGACAGTTCTTTTTATTTTTTTATTTCTAGGAGAGAGAGAGAGAGAGAGTGTGAGCAGGGGAGGGTCAGAGAGAGAGGAAGACACAGACTCTGAAATAGGCTCCAGGGTCTGAGCTGGCAGTCAGCACAGAGCCCGACGCGGGGCTCGAACCCACGAACTGCAAGATCATGACCTAAGCGAAAGTCGGACGCTTAACAGACTAAGCCACCCAGACGCCCCTAGATTGACAGTTCTGATCAGCAGGTTGGTCTTGTTCTCCCAAATGAGTTTACTTTGGTCCATTGGTTAGCTTCCTTGGGCCTCAGTATTCTCGTTGGGAAAATGGCAGCAAAGTGTCTTCCCTTTCTACTGCACAAAGTGTATCAGGATCAAATGAGAAATGGTGTGTGAGAGTATTTATTTTGTTATATGTAAAGCACATAGGGCTTCATAAAATTGAAGCAAGTTTTATAGTAAATCTAAATGTGTGGTACCTTAGACATTCTGTCATCTTTTCTTGAAAGCATTGGTAGCAAAAATGAGTCATTGAAAGAAATGTTTTAATAGTAATAATGATAATAATAGTACTTATAGTACATACAATAAATATTCTTATTTTTGCCAGTTAGAGCAAATCAGAATATGGAGCTCACTGCCAGTGGCCTCTAAGCAATGCTTACTGTCCATTCTCTCTCCCCTTTCTTCTTAGCTCTTTCTTTTCCCCCAACTGTCTCTAGGTTCTTTTCCTTATGCTCCACTCAAGGTTACTGGCCTTGATATAGTGTCCTGTTTTGTACTTTTTATTAAACTGCCTTGCCTTCCAAATATCATATGCCACACTCTCAGAAGTCTGAATAAGTAACTAGTTCATTAACTTGACGAATGGCAAACACTGGACAAATTCCTGTAATTGAGCTGAACTGATTGAAGTTTAAATGGGAGACTTTGACTTTGATATCATTGTATCCTAATGACATTCGACATGGTTAGAACGTTCAGAACTTTTCCGCAGAGGTGAGAAATAAAAAGTTCAGCTTTTTGGCTAGGGGATTGTTTTGTATGACTTAAAATTGGACTAAAAATGGACTAATTGCCAATATTTTCAAATATGGATATAAATTATGAAGTTCCAGCTTTATGACTTCTCTTGAAATATCAGAGCATGTAGTGATACTGGATCTCCATAAAAAAAATAGCAGTGACTGAGAGCAGCTGGTTTCTTTAGAAGAATAAGCTGTGTTCAGTACTAAGATCCCCCCCCCCTTTCCACTGGATTTATTTATGTCATCTTGTATGGCCCCTGTAGGACCTGAGTTTGTGACTCTCAATAAACTCACGGAAATAACCTAATTAAATCTTATCTCATAACCAGTTAGTCATGGGTGAAATCATGGACAGATGGTTGAAGGTGAACATATGTTGTTGATCTGTTTCTCTTACTTCATTAACCATTTTGCCAGCATTTTGAAGAGTCTGATCATATGTCACAAACTATAGCTGGTGCAGCAGTTTAGAAGGGGAAAAATCTAGAGTTTTGTTGACTATATTATTTTCAAATTTGAAATGAAAGCTGCTTTGAGTTTTGATCTGCAGTTCAAAGTAGAATTTTACCAGCTCAATAAACGTGAGTCTGAGGCATGTTCCAAACTCCACACCTGCCGCATTCCTGTGATATCAGAGCACTACAAAGAGCCTCCCTGGTATGGGGTTTTTATAACATATAGTTATGGCAAGTAAAAGGTCTCCAGTGAAATGTCACCATAAGTGATATATTAGAGGCAAGGAGTAGAGGACTTAGCAACTTGACATTGGTAGCAGCTTGAAGCTTCTAGAGTTTTCTAAAGGCTTCACAATCTTCTTCCTTTGTTTCCCATGTCTGAGGGGAGGAAAGTTGATATGGATACACCCAAGACACAGAAAAATGAAGCCATATTAGTAGCAAGAGGCAATTTAACAAGATTATAAGTAATATTGTTTGGGAAAAAATTCTCCCTTTCTTTTTTCTTTTCAATTTCTAAAGCTCCCCTTTCCTCAAATCAGAGCTAGAGCCTATAGCCCTAGGATTAAGTTTTGGGCCTATGGAAAGAGGCCAAAGCAACCTCCTGGTAGACCTCAATGAAGGCTATCAGTCAGAAGCACAGAAGTTCCGTGTGATTCCATATCGTCTGGAAAAAGGTCACAGGCTAGTAGTTTCTCACACAGAGGCTTGGGGTTGAAAGTATTCTTATTTCCGAGCAAACAAGAGGACCTTGCAAGTGTGGCAATAGACATGGTGGGTGACCAATAAAAGAAAAGGGGATCTTGGCTTCAAAGACACATAACATCTCTACATTACTAACAGAAGGCTTTCCCATATGTCTGGCTTTGAGCAAGGGCAAGTTAGCCTAGTCATCACCAACCAACTGTCCAATTATCCACTGTGTTAAATAGACAGTGGATTAGGAATCTTGGGAGAGGTAGCAGAGCAAATGCCAAGAGAACATTTCATTTGACACATGGACAACCACATCTTGCACAGCTAGTAATTCAAGCTCTCTCAGGATCCATGTAACTCCGTGAGCTATTGGCTCCATAATATACTGTGTATGAAAATGCTCAAAATCATCAGAGAAGACCATGGCAATGGAGATTCCAAACCTCAGTTCAACATTTTCTACTTATGTTGAGTCAGAATGAATTTGGCATAATTAGAAAGAAAAGGGTGGATAAAGATAACTGCCATGGTAGTCACAGAGAAAAAACAAATGTGTAGCACGAGGGAAGTTACTTTTTCTTCTTGACAAACTCACAGACAAAGTACATGGTATAATGGCACTCTGTGTCATTCCATCTGCCTGAGCTCAGCATTTCCACACAGTCCTCATGACCATAGGGGTCACTGGGCTCCCCCTCTCTCCAGTTGCTGTAGTTCTGCAGTGGAGTGTTGTCCGTGAACACATACTGCCCCTCCTTCTCAAGGTCATTTACCCCGATGAATACCCGGAAGAAGCCACTCTTGGCGACATAGTCAGCAATGAGGGTGTTGGCAGCTTCATCCTTTGGCATGGCGAGCATCCCACCCCGGATCCGGCAGTGGGTCAGGGATTCCCTATAGTTCTTCTCCTCCTGCACGATGTAGTAGAATTTCTCCTCAGTTTCTCTAATCCCTGCAATGACTTTGCAGGGAGGAAAAAGTGAACATGATTATGCATCTCAAAAAGGGAAAAAGCAAATATATAACATTGCTGTATTTAAATTCATTTATTTGAGGGGCACCTGGGTAGCTCAGTCGGTTAAGTGTCCAACTTCAGCTCAAGTCATGATCTCTTGGTTTGTGAGGTCAAGCCCCACATCGGGCTCTGTGCAGACAGCTCAGAGCCTGGAGCCTGCTTCAGATGCTGTGTCTTCCCCCCTCTCTCTGCCCCTCCCAAGCTCATGCTCTGTCTCTCTCTGTTTCTCAATAACAAATGTTTAAAAATTTTTTTATAAATAAGTAAGTTAATTAATTGATTTGATGTTCAACAGTTATTTTGCAAGCCCCTATTATGAGGTAGGTACTGGTTTAATATTTTTGTCACCTTCATAGTTTTCCAATGGAGAACAAAGTCTTGCCATTTGTCCTCCCTGTCCTTCCTCCTTAACTTTCCACACGACAGTCTTTGTCTTTGACAAAGACTTGTCACACGAACTGCCTCTCAGCTCCTCTCAGACTATTGTCCCATCCCACTTTATGCTCTGCCATACAGAGTCCCAACAGCATGTCCTTCTCTCTTCCACTTCAATGACTGTCGTGCCTGGAATGTCTTCTCACTGCTTTACCTGGAAAACTCCTACTGGTCATAAGGTCTAAGTGGAAGTATTTTCTCCTCTAAGGGCCTTTCTAATGTCTCTGGACGGACACGGGGCTCTTGTGCACTTTTCTCCGTGTTTCCATTGCTCCTGTCTCTTCCTCTTTTGTATCACTCAATGCGTTCGAGTCTAATTGTTTGTCTGCATGTCTCGTGTACTAAACTATGAACGTCTTGAGGATGATGTCCATGTCTTTACCACTCTGCAACAGTACACAGGATGGTAAAAGCTTATAGAATGAATATCGGAAAAATACAGGAATTTTTCCATCGGGGGCCGAATTCCTGGGCTATGAACATGTACATAGATTGAGACCATCAATAGTTCACTCCAGATACATGAAGTACTGAGCTACTGAGTAAGCTTCAGGACAGAACTGGGGACTCAGAATCATGCTGAGCTCACAATATGTTATGTTTTAGGCAAAAAAAAAAAAAAAAAAAGTATGTTTTAGGCTTTGGGGGTGTGTGCCTATATTTCTTAGGGTCTGTAAGTTAAAATTTGCCAAGAAATCTGTGAGCATGCCAATATATGTCAAACACTGTTGCTCTATGTTGAACCTCAAGGGTCTGGGTTTTTCATGAGAATCCAAGTCATGTCAGAGACAACGTCTCTAAGAGTATTCCAAGATGAAGATGAACACGAGATGGAATACGTGTATTTCTGATAATGTACAACAAACAGAATTGGATGGCATAAATAAACGTATAACAAAGGAAACCAATTTCAACTGTAACTACCATCGATTCCTCATTTGTTCTGTCTCTGAGGAGAACACATAGGCCCTGCTATAAGGGTTTCACTGCTAACTACAATGGGGAAATGGACCAAGGATAACAAAAATGGCTAGTGTGAGAAGTTGCACAATTCAGAGAAACAAGTTATGATCTGTTGGTTTTTACTGAGGGTAGAGGAATCAGTGAAACCCACAGCCAAATCCCTGATTTCCTGTAATTAGCTCTGTATCTTTGGGCAAGGTAATTTTGCTAAGCTTCAGCGTTAACAAAATATCCACATGGTGATCACTATTTCAAATTCTCAAGAAAGTAGCTATTTTTACTATTACTTCTCTTTTCTGAGTTGCTAACTCTTTTGGACTCTTCCTGTCCTTTTTTATTCTTAAGGCATGGCTTGCTAAACTCTGCTCTTTTCTCCATTCCCTTCCCTCCAGAAAGTATCTTTTTCTATCTATAGGCAAATAAACTTATTATGTATTAATATATGTAGGTACTGGTCCTGAGTGTCCTGGAGTCTGAGTGGATAATTAACATTTTGAGACCTGTTAAGTAGTGACACTATCTCAGTGGGCTTTTGCCCCACCCAAGGTATTTCCCACTAAAATTCTGGAAATACCTTGGAATTGTATTCTTGAATACTGGAATTGCAGTGTTGAAAGAGATTGAATCAACAGATAGCATAAAGCAAAAGACAGTATACTCACCATTCTTGACAAACTTCATAGATGTTTTGAGGCGAGCAACACTAATATCCAGTTGTCCAACAACTTTCCGGTATCTTCCACAATCACAGACAGTGCCTTTTAAATGACAAAAACTGTGAATTCATGTTGAAGTACACACAGATCAGTTGGAAAGGATAATTGCTCTCTTCTCAATATTTACTATCTTTTCCTAGTCTGGTTGTATGTTTCTGTGAATGGCTATACTTTTAGTCTTTTATTTAAAACAAAGTTTCCAATTGACATTGTCTTCAAGAATTTACAGAATATCTTTTGAAGTATTTTGGATGAGTTAAAATACATCCCTAAGCCAGTTTTTTAAAGTGAAGAGTAAATCATGGCAAATCACTGCACACATACTGTGGACCGTTTGGCATTTTTGTTGAATACAGAATGTGCCCATCCAATCTCAAAATAAAATCTTGACAGCTTTCTTAAAACAAATTTCTGGCCAGTCTTCTCTTCTGTTACTGCATTGCTCACTGGCTCACACAAATTTCCCAAGACAGGAGAAAACCTTCGTGATGAAATCAAATGGTAATTCTGATTATCCATTTCAAGGATGGCTTGAATGATCCTTGAATGTTTCAAGGACTAAATTTAAATCTTGTGAATAGATTCAACTTATAATTTCAAGAGACATTTGCCCCATTTGCGGACTAACTCTGATGTTAATTTCCGCCATTCATTTCCTCTTTCCTCATTTACCTTTTCAGCTACCTGCTGATGCCGAGACAGAGAAAGAATTGTAAGGAAAATGACGTGAAATGTTTTCTGGAAATGTTTATGTTTAAAAATATTTCCCCAACTCCTTGTTTTCTATGATCTTATCTTTGAATTTGACGACCTTGGTATTTTACAGGGACACAACTTTCAGGATGGAGGAGGACTTTTGTACTGGCAACTTACAAGCACTATAATTCTCTCTTACACAGAATAGGAATATTATATTTTCCCTAAAGGACCTTAGGACTTAAGGAATAGAGTGAACAAACACAAGAAGCTATTTCCAGTTTTGGTCTCTACACTTGAGAAAAAGGTTGATATATACAGAAATACATATTAAGACACTAAAATAAAGTACCAAAAAGTGTGGTTTTTAAAGAAGCTTGAAAATATTTCTTCTGGGTTTCTTTTTCTCTTTTCTTTCCTTCCTTCCTTCCTTCCTTCCTTCCTTCCTTCCTTCCTTCCTTCCTTCCTTTCTTCCTTCCTTCTTTCCTTCCTTCCTTCCTTCCTTTCTTTTAACTTTTATCTATTTAATGGCTGCTTCAGGTAATCAGTTTCTTTTACTTTCTTTTTTGGCAATTGAGAGCAAAAAAAAATTTATTAGCCAAAGTGGGGGGAAATCTGTGGCTTTTCCGAACATTTATCCATGTTCACAGTTAAAGACAAAGAATTTAAAACAGTTCTTACAATTAGTCTTCACTGCGCCTCCATGAGCTTCCCTCTGAGCAATCTACATCTTCCCCCTGCACACAGCACTGGAAATAAAACTCTTTCAGGACTCAGGAAAACTCTCCCTGGCCACTGCTGGCATGTTCTATATCCATGGGGTCTTTCCAGATCAGGCCAGATTGCTGCGGGCCTCTGTCTGGTTGAGATGCTGGTGGAATGAAAGGAACGCCACTTCTATCCTACTGCTGAGGCCACAGTGGATTTCCCCCTTCCCCCCCCCCCATCTCTAAGAGAGTGAGGGCTGCTCCCTGATGTGCTAGGTTTGCTTCCTCCCACTAAGCATGACTAGGATGGAATGTGCCATCATTCCCTTCCCCAGGGCTTGGAAAGTCACCAGCAGATGGAGAGGAAAGTTCCCTTCTTTCCTTTCCCCCAGCCCAAGTAAAATCAGGTTAGGCACTGAGAGGACTATTTTTTTCCATAAAAATGTATTTATTTTTAAAGAGGAATATATTTGAAATGATAACAGACACTGAAGAGAAAAATGAGCAAGACTTACCTGCTTTGCCTTTTCCTCCTGGGATCCCCGGCAAACCTTTTTCCCCTTTGTCACCTGAATGAAAATAATCATCACGAAAAGAACAATGAACTAAAATGGCAGGTTATTTCCAGCAGACACTATCTTATATACTTAAAATCATAGGAAATAGTTTTTGAATTTCATCTGTAGTATTGCCAACTAATATTCCTTGGTTTAAATAATTTGATTTTGCATTGGCTGCACAGGTACAACTAATCAAACAAGTCATAATTTATTTAGATTGAATGTGGAGCTCCAGTAGAATGGGTAGGGAACATTTAAATTTGTCACCTGCCCTACTAACATGGCCTTCTGAGAAAGGCTCATACAATTCTCTGCACGTTTTTAACTTTAAAAGTACCATTGTTTTGTATACCGGAATCAATTGATTAGCACATTGAGGTGCCTGTGTATTTATTACATCCCCAATTCTCCTGTATGGCTCCATTCTTGGATTTTCAAAAACATATATGTCCTTTTCCAATTTAATTCAAATATTTACTATTCTTACTCCGTGCAAGACAAAAGGCTTGATATTTTGAGAAGGTATAAAGAGAGACAAGATTAAACGTCTGACTTGAAGGGGTTTATATATTTTGGAAAAGATGTGATATATGCAAATATCTGTAATATAAAGCTGTGTCAAATATATTATGCTGAAATATCAACCTTGATAATTTTCTCTTCTGCCCTTCTTTGTATGTGGCCATTTTCTTATGCAGTCAGGGGTATCCAGAAAACAATTCTCAGAGAATCCGGAGTATTAAAGCAGAGAGGGAAAAAAATGTTGATTTTTTTTTTTCAACTTCAAAATAAGCCCTTGAAGCCTACATCAGACACAATAATTGAAAGCAAAAGCTTTTGATTTCCAAGAGGAAATGTTTGGCTGAAGTTCTTGAGAATCAAAAGAGAAGACCTTGATAGAAGTAAAATAGAGTTTATGCTTCAATGGTGAACTAGAAAAGAAAAAAAAAAAAATTGGGAGGGATGAATACAGGTTGAAGGTCATCCAGGCCACAAGGGTCTGGGGCTTACCTTTGTAGGAGTTTGGTGAGGTCAGGGAATTAGTTATGTGCCCCAAAGGGGCAATGTGAATGGAAACGGAGTCAGCATTAAGGTTCTACCTAGCCCCATCCTTTACCAGCAAAAGGGAAAAAAATGGGAGCCACTCTAAACCCATAGGGTAGCCCATATTGCCTGCTTATTAGCTATTCTTTTCATAACTGCTGCTGAGTGTCTTTTATTAAAGTCCTGTACATATTGGGGGCACCTGAGTGGCTCAGTTCTTGTCCGACTTCAGCACAGCTAGTGATCTCACAGTCCATGAGTTCAAGCCCCGAGTTGGGCTCTGTGCTGACAGCTCAGAGCCTGGAGCACTCTGTCTCTCTCTGCCCTCTGTCTCTGTCTGTCTCTCTGTCTCTGAAAAATAAAGATTAAAAAAAAGCTAAAACAGAAAAAAGAGTCTTGTACATATTGACTATTGATCTTCCGGGAAAGCCTGCCTGCCAGGGCCCTAAGAATTTGCTGGACATTTCCAAATTGACCCATGTGGATACTTCTTTTTATAGTGATGCCAGACATTCATGGGCTCCCCAAATAGAAAAAGCAGTCCTTGGAACCCACAATGCAATTTAAGTGTGTAGGAGGAAGCCTCAGAACTTGCACTTGAATGAAATAAGGCAATGGTGAAATCCATGACAATACAATGTGATAAATGCTGTAAGAGGGACGGTGAATGTTGAATGGAGATAACATACTCTGGGAGGGAGGTAGACAAGCTAGTGCTTCAGCTGGAGGGATGAAGGAGATGGCACTGGAACTGGGTTATGAAAAACTTCTCAGGTGAAGATGGGAGGAAGGTAGGGGACGATGTACTACCGAGGTACATTGGAAAAATATGGGAAATATGCCATGCACCCTGATGAGGAGGATTGATCTGCTCACCCCTACATTGTGTCCTGCAAATTCCTCAATTTCTCTTATATGTAAATTGTTAAAGACAAAAATAGCATTTGAGACTATATTAATGGCAGAAAGGGAATATACCTTTGCTAAGTGCTCATCATTTGGTAAGCGCTGTTCCAGATACTTTGTAGATATTCATATTATTTATAGATATCATCAAATTAAATCCTATAAGCTAGGTATTATCATTATCTTTATTCTACAGCTGAAAGAATGGAGGATCCTAGAGGCAAAATAACTTGTTGATGGACAGCTAGCAATTCAGTGGCAGTGCTGGCATTGAAACACAACCATTTCTGACTTCCCAGTTCATGGTGCTTCCCAAATGAGTGAACCAATGATTCAATGACATAAAGCGAAGTATTCAAAAACTGCTATCAGTAGTTGGAAGGCATGCCAAGTCCTTGTCACCAGCAGACACAATATGGACTTAAAAGTTCATATGAACATAGTTTAATATGTTATCTTTTTAAAACAGTGTGCTTTCTTTATATGTGGATCTGTCTCAATTCATCATGGGCTGAAAGTTGACTATAGCTCTGCTACCATCCTTGTTCTGGGCTAAACCCAGTGGTGGACATCAAAGAAGCCTAAATGGAGTGTTTGCTTTATAAAAGTAATGGGGTTTTAAGGAAAACAAAGCACACATCACAGACCAAGGAAATGGGACACGATCACTATTACCTACTCACACAGTGAAATAAAGGAAATGCCTGCCGGGTTTTCGGCCAAAATGACTGTGGATCAGAGCAGAGAAGACGTTCACCAAAGCAAGAGCCTTCTGCTGGATCTTAATAGTGTGGAAAATAGATTTTTGAATTGATAAATGGCTTTTTTGGTCTGACAAGATGTAAGCATTGTGACTATTTTCTAGTATTTTCCCACGAATGTCTCTCCTTTTTGACAGATAAGAAAATCAAAGCGGTGTGGTAGAGGGAGCAGCCAAGGCAGTCCAAAAAACCAGGGCCTGAATCCTGGACACTTGCTAGCTAAATTTGGACAGGTTACTTCATTTCTGTAAGCCTCTGTTTCTTCATTTTTTGAGTGGAAATAATGGCACCTAAAATTGGAAGATTGTTAAGGAGGATATGAAGATGTCATCTTATCACAGGATTAGCTCTGTGCTTAAGTAATAGACGATGCTCAACCAATGTTAGCTTCTGCCATATACTTGGCTGATTCATGGAGGACGTGAGCTTACAATGCCTATTTCCTAAAAATGAATTCAGGTTTAAGGCCATACACAAAAACTTATTTTGGCCCGTGGGTGGGAACATGTCAGTAATTACTGTCTTAAACTTGAAGAATTAAAGGTTGCATTTAAACAAACAAACAAAAAATCATAATGCTTCCACTGTAAAAGGATTATTGACTTTAAGTAAAAACATTTATTTTGCTATAAGGTTGAATTTGCCTGTACTAAATCATTCTCTCTTATTCCTAAAATGAAATATCGGCATCCAGAAAGCTACCTTGTCCATGCAAGTGACAGCATTAAGGTCAGCCCAGAAAGTTGAGATTAATCTGACTCAGTGAAAAACTTAGAAGCGCCACTGACAAAGTGAGGACAATAAATTCCAAAGTATAGATTAAAAATGAAATTAATCCAGGTGAGCCAGAACACTAAACCTCAAATTTTTTTTTTAATTCCGGGACATGCTCATAAATTTTGATCACATATCTCTGGAAGAGAAAGAAATCTTAGTGAATGGTGGAACTGATGATAAGGGACAGTAGTACTTATAGAAATAAAGAGTTGAAAAGAGGGCCATATCACAGGAAATAACACATACTATCATTCACATTTTCATTCTTTTTAAAAAATTTATGTTTATTTAGTTTTGGGAGAGAGACAGAGTGTGAGCAGGGGAGGGGCAGGGAGAGAGGGAGACACAGAATCTGAAACAGGCTCCTGGCTCTGAGCTGGGACTCACAGAGCCCGACACAGGGCTCAAACCCCCAAACTGTGAGATCATGACCTGAGCCAAAGTCAGACGCTTAACCAACTGAGCCACCCAGGCATCCTTCACGTTTTCATTCTTTTCTTTTTTTTTAATTTTTTTTTTAATGTTTTATTTATTTCTAGGAGAGAGAGAGACAGCGTGAGCAGGGGAGGGTCAGAGAGAGAGAGGGAGTGACAGACTGAAACAGGCTCCAGGCTCTGAGCTGGCAGTCAGCACAGAGCCCGACGCGGGGCTCGAACCCACGAACCGCGAGATCATGACCTAAGCGAAAGTCGGACGCTTAACCGACTAAGCCACCCAGGCACCCCCACGTTTTCATTCTTAATGCAATAAGCATCTAGAGAGTTTCCACTGTGTAATAGGCACTAAGATAAAACGTGGGACCCAAACCCACATACAACTTATCTTTATTTAAGCGAATAGACCCAATAAATCTTTCATTCGTTTGTTCTTCCAGACGTTCACAGTCTATAGGGGAGAAAAGACAAGCTAATAAACCATGACGATGAGTAAAGTAATGAAGGTATGCAGGTATGGAATTGGCTTGAAGAAGATAAGGTTGATTAACTCTGTAATTTCCAGACTGTTACTTTTTCAACATTTGTGGAAGTTCACCCCCTGAGGCTCAGAAAATCATACCGAACTCGACTCTTCCTCGTCTCTGTCGTCTACCAGCCTCCCAAGACAGGTTGTCGTAGTCTATGAAAGGTTTAAACTTGACTCAAGATTCGGACCTCCAACTCTCCTAGCTGGAGCTTCAGCTGTATTTGACACACTTAAATCTAGGAAAGTGCAACATCTAGAACAACTCAATGAAAAACGAACTTCTTGAGTTCTGGACATGTTCATGACAGTGACTCTTCTTCTGCCTCCCCTTCTGCTCATTTCCAGGGAGATACTTGGGATCTCAACCTTATTGAACATGGCTACATCTCAGAAATCTTGAAGTCCAGCATCGCACTCTCTGGCTACATCTTTCCATCTCTTAACTAGTTGTTACATGACGCTGATATGGCCAGGGGCAGATCCATGATTCATTTTATCTGAAACGTATACAATTTGGGGAGCCCTTTTTAAGAAAATTAATACACAATTACAAATGGA